GACACACACACACACACACGAGCCTAATCGCAGGACGTGGTGATGTTGTTATACAGTTTATTATCAGAAAGTGAGAGCATATATATATATATATATAGGTAATATTATTCGTGTATTGCCGGTAACTGTCGTGGTCCAAATTTTCCCCTTCAGACTCTTAGAAGGTAAATGACATATAGTATGGCTCTTGAACGCAGTAGGCCTTAGTGTCTTTTTTGGCCCGGGCAGTTGTTTTGGGAAGTTAAACAAGAGAAGAAGGGTGCACACACACACACACACACACACACACACACACACACACACACACACACACACACACACACACACACACTGATATTATAGATCAGTATATCGTGCCGGTCCGATATTCACTGTCTGTCTTTGGATTTTTCAGGAAAAAATCACCAGACAATTTATAATAGTAATTAATAAGGTTGATGTAGAGAAAAAGGTTGCTATTTAAGAGGATTATATATTACTGAGCACGGATGATATCATAATGATTTCTCTATTAAAGAATGTACATGCAGATTCTTTTCCCATTTTTAGAGGAAGACAACATTCGTATAGTATTTCTGAATAGGTGTTAAAATAAAAGCAGCCGGGCATAAAAAATAAAGTTTGGTAGGAAATAAAATATTAATAGGTCTTTTTTTGTATGCAACACCGTAAACAAGAAAGCATTCATTTTTCTTTGAGCGCAGAAATTGTTTTTCGTCCTCTCTTCATCCAGATCGAGCCTACCGCCGGAAGTGGGTTTGTTGTTCGCTCTCAAGGCTGAAGGCAAGAAGGCGAAAACAGCATTGTCGGAGTGGAAAATAGTTTTTTTCGACCAGTACTTTGCTCACAAGAGAGGCCGAGGGTGCAAAGAAATAGAAGCAGTCATTCCTTTCACCTGCATTCGATTTGTGTTGATGGTGTAGATCTATTCATCTGGATAGCGGCATCATGGCCTACAACTATGTTGTTACCGCTCACAAGCCAACTTCAGTGTCAAACGGTGTCACAGGTACGGAGTTTCATCTCATGCTTGTTGTGGCATTATTTTGTGTACGTTTTGCAGTTCTCAGAGTTCTTTTTTACCGTGCTTTTCTTGTCAACCTTTCCCTGGTGGCGAGAGTGCTGGTTATTTAGTGTAGCGAAGTGCAGATTTAGAATCTCTAGAGATAGAGTCGATATCTAGGGTCTAGATTCTAGATCAGCACTTTCCAAACCAGCATGACAGAGCTGAATTTCCCTGGCCTTTGGCTTTGGCCTTGATTTTGATGGTTGAGTTTGAGGCTGAGGATGGTTTATAATTTCGAAGTGACTTTTTCTCAGAACGCTCGGGAAAATAAACTTGACCTCTATTTCTCCGAACGGTGATTTTTCAATAAATTTTTGGCGGGGTGGTGGGGGGTTGTAAGTTGTATGCAATGAATGGAAGGATTCGCTCACGTCCATCCGTCCGCCCGCTTGAATGCATGGAGTGAGGAGTCTCTCAGTCCGCCCGTCCGCTCGCTCGCTTAACGAACTGTTGTCTCTGTCCGATGTGTAGCGAGTAGCGAACTACTCTTCACAAGCGTATGGTTCGTTGCGCGTCCGCACGTTTGCGGGTAGTGCCAGCGAGTAGTTCGTTACTCGCGGACGCTGATTTTGCAAGCCCGACCCAACCGTATATAATATAGATTAGCAGAGCTGTTAAAGTACTTTTAAAAAGGTACTTAAGTACAGTCTAAAATATGTACTTAAGTACAGTCTAAAATATGTACTTAAAAGTACAGTCTAAAATATGTACTTAAGTACAGTTATTAAAGTACTTTCCTGTAAAATGTACTTGAAAGTACATTTTAAAAAAGTACTTATAAGAGTACATTTTGAGACTTTCTGCTAATATGCTAAAACACTTCAGTCTTCAGTGCATGCAAAACATCATATTGAATAACATATCTAGTATATTTGACAAATTCGACCATTTATTACATGTAAACAGTACAAAGCATTTGAATATGTATACGCACTGAACGTAGGAGGTGGGAATGGTCTGTGAAATTGAAAAAAAACCCCAGCGAACAAACAAATGCAACTAGTGAGTAAGTGATATTATGAATAGAATTTGTTTGAGCAAGACAATATGATCAAATGTATGTCAGTTCTAGAGGTCGGAAAGTAGGAAAAGTATCCAAATTGGAAAATGTAGAGACAAAGTTGCTCTAAGAGTTTAGTCACACTGTGTTGTCCACGGCGCCCACGGCAAACCAAAATAGGCCTACATATAATTTCATAGAGTCTAGTAAGTGTAGTGTAACCAAAAATTCTCTACTGCAGTAGTGTCCGCCTAAGATCCCAGTGCTCGGGAGCAAGGGAAATACGGGATTTTTTTAGCCGACAAAGCCAAGGAAGAATCTACAGTGACCCATGAACTGACGTGACCCCTGGGTAGGTTTATGACATATGGCGAGCAAAGAGTGGTCAACCTTGATGACCAATCACAGTAGCATGGTGGCATGAGGCATGCCATAATATTATACCGTACACTCATTAGCATATCGTCTCGAGATCCTTATCTACTTATCCAGTTGCCCCTCCCCTTTACCTGTCCAAAAATTGTAGCCTTCCATCTCTGATTGAGTCCCCCCCGCCTTTGTCGTTACGCTCCATTACGCTGGGACCACACCAATTAAAATTCAGGCTGTCTCACAAATTCGGGAATAGGGAAAAACTCCCTTCAACTTCAATGGTCAGGGAAGAGTTTACAGTTCGATGTGATCCTGCCTGGAGCGAACTTGTAGGCCCTACCCACCCAGCGAGTGATGAGAGTTCAGGTGGCGAGCTCAGATGCGAGTGCGATGTTTTGGGAAAAGAAACGCCCATCGGTCAGTTCACACCTCAATGTGATCCCGTCTGGGGATCATTGTACTGTTTCATGGAGTTTTACAACGCATGTGATCACATTCACGAGAGTGGCTGATCTTTAATCTCAACTTTTAACTCTTGGTTGATCGGCTGTGCCCGCCCGGGTGTTTGTTCCGTAAATTATGATCAGAAATGCCGGCACTTATTCTTTCATTAAGCTTCAAAAGTACTCAAAATGTACTTGAAAAATACTCAAAAGTACTTTTTAAAAAAGTATCTGAGTACAGTAAAAGTACTGGTTCTCAAAATGTACCGGAGTACAGTGAAAGTACCGAAAATTGTAACGTAAGTACAAGTACCGGAGTACTTTTGTACTCCGTTACAACCAGCTCTACCCTATAGCCTACACATGTAGCTAACGTAGAACCATGCAACTGCCTGATTGGCTGCTAATTTTAGTCATGTGATGTCATCACCTCCTGAGATACCCAGAGACTATATTTAGAAGGCTGTGGAGATACCAATTTGGCACTAGTCGAGTTGTGATGTCCCGACTCAGGGGGCGGCCGTTTTGGCTAAATCTGTCAGGGAATCTCCAGATTGGGCGCATTTTTGGCAGTTCCCACCCCGCTCATTTGAGCCTTCATCTAGATTTATTATAGGCTTTGTTTGATGCTCAGCGAGCGAGAGATATCAAGCCTGAACCCCCCCTTTCTCTATTTTTTATGGAGTGTCTACGTATACGGTTACCGGGCGCGTAGCCTCAGGGTCTACGTACACGGTAACCGGGCACATAGTCTCAGTATCTATGTACACGGTAACCGGAGGGTCCAAAAGATAAAGTTCACTCAGCCAAAAAGAGTGTCACTTTTATTGTTTTTCACTCAAGTAGGGTAACTGTTCGCAAAGTTTGCGCTTTTTCGAAGAGGACGCACTAGGGTCAACCGCTCTATAGTCCAGCATGATACCCACTAAATTTCATAACAGAGCGTCCAGTAAGCCTTTACTTTCGCTTTCGTTACCTCCTAGAAATTTGTCAGTAATTGAGACGCACTCGGGGATAGGGGGAGGGCTGGATGCAACACCAGAGGACAAAAAAACCCCCAACTGAAACTGGAAGCAAATATGTTTAATGTTTAGAATTTTGATTACTGCTACAGCTCTCTGCTAAGTAAGATTTTCAGTGTCACTGCATTTTGCTCTCCCTTAGGAAAGATGACAGGATCATTTTTGGGATTACTTTCTGCTCACAACACACAAAAAACGGAGTGAAAAAGGAAAAAGGTCAAGGTCCTGAAGGGAACAAAGCAGTTACCGTACACCTAGCTCAAGCCCCCCCCCCCACGAAACAAAATACCCGGTTACCGTGTTCGTAGAGGCGCCCTGTTGCCGGTTACCATGTACGTAGATATTGAGGCTATGCACCCGGTTACTGTGTGTGTGACATTGAGACTACACGCCCGGTTGCCGGTTTCCGTGTACGTAGAAACTGAAGCTACGTGCCCAGTTACCGTGTACATATGTGACATTGAGACTACACGCCCGGTTGCCGGTTACCGTGTTCGTAGGCACCGAGGCTAGCGTACGTGCCCGGTTACCGTGTTGGTAGATAATGAGGCTACGCGCCCGGTTACCGTGTGTGTGACATTGAGACTATACGCCCGGTTGCCGGTTACCGTGTACATAGACACTGAGGCTACGTGCCCGGTTACCGTGTACATATGAGACTACACGCCCGGTTGCCGATTACCATGTTCGTAGACACTGAGGCTAGCGTACGTGCCCGGTTACCGTGTACGTAGACACTCCGTATTTTTTATTTAAAAAAGTGCCCAATCTGGAGATTCCCTGACTGATTTTGCCGAAATGGCCGCCCCCTGGGCCGGGACATCACAAGTCGGCTAGTCCCACCAATTTAAAGATTCTCATATCTTGGAGATACCGCATAGAACGACATTTTGGGTCAGTGGCTTGACGTATTATTCGTATTGATGTGTTTCCCACGTTAAAATTTCACACTTGCGGCTAACTACAGCCCGTCAGCCATGCTCTGGTTGGTTACAAGTTACCAGGTTTCAGGTATGTTAATAACATCGGAATGTATAGTATGTTAAAAGCCACGTTCCAAAATGTTATTTTAACATACTGGAAACCTTGCAGCTTGTAACCAATCAGAACATGGCTGACGGGTTGCAGTTAGCCGCAAGTGTGAAATTTTGAAGTCTGACGTCAAACAAGATGGCCGCTTTACCTAAAAATAGTTTGCGTTTGTTCTACATTTAGTCGCATGTGTTGACTTTGACTACTAGATCTAGTAGATCTCACCAGAGACAATGTATGTAAACATACACTGTCTCTGATCTCACCGTGGCGGGCCCGTTTTGCATGTGTGTGTTTGTGTGTGCGTGCTTGTGTGTGTGTGTGTATACAACTTTGAGGAGAAGGTAAATTTATGGAACGAGAATTGCTGAGAATGTTTGTAATTGATAACACAAATTAATAAAAAGAAAAAAACCCAAGGATGGCGAAATCTAGTCAACTGTTACTGGCGAAGGAAACCCAAGAGTCTTTGAGGAAGCCCCAGAAGACGACAAAAATAGATGGCGGAAATGCCTCATCTATATTTGGGCCAATCACAGAGGTGCCCGCTGTAGCTTCATGTAATTCAAACATAGCTTGATATGAATGGAGTAAGGAAAGAGGAGATAAGTACATGTGCAGTGGACGGCTTGAGTTGACAAGGCAATGAAGAGGGGGATGGGTGAAGAAATAAAGACATTGAGCAAGAGAAAAGCAAGGAAAGAAAGAGAGGGAGAGAGAGACAGAGAGAGAGAAAGCGACAGAGTGAGAAAGAAAGAAAAGAGAAGAGAAATTGAGAGTGAGAATAAGAGGGAAAATAGGAGAAAGAGAGAGGCAGACACAGAGAAGCCCAGTGAGAAACACAGAGAAAGAGCCAGCACAGACAGAGAAAAAGGAGTAAAAGCTGCCTGAGACAAGCAGACATAAATAATGATTAATCAGCGCCCTTGGGATCACTTGATCCGCCTATAAATGGCGCTCGACTGGTTGTAGGAATTAGGGCCTACTCACATTTCCCGCCTGTTTCCACTGGCTCTTCGCAGCTTTTTGTTTGTTGTTGTTCATTGCCTTTGCCCCCCTACTTCCGTACATGTTTTCAAACAAGCTGATTAACGTTGACGATCAAATAACCCATACACAGCTGTGCAGTGAACTCATCATCATCCGGTGCCTTGCCGACTGGCGTGGGCAATCATGGACCTCCACTTCCATCTGTCTTTCGAAGCAGCAATGGTGTCTGTTGTTCTTGCTGCTCCCAGCCATGTTGTCATCTTGTCCAGTATCTTTTCCCTCTGTCTGCCTCTACCTCTCTTTCCATCAAACTTTCCTGTTGTTACAATGTTCTCTAATGCTTCTTTCCGCATTGTGTGTCCGAAAAAATTTGCCTGTCGTTTTCTTATATTCGTGATAAGTTGTTTTCTATAATTTGCTTCAACCAGGACTTCTTCATTTGTTTTTCTAGCTGTCCATGGGATACGTAGCATGCGTCTCATGAACCACAACTCTGCCGCAACAATTAGTGAACTACATATATATAAAACTATTGTGTGTTTCGCGCGCTCATATAACCTTATGCAGTTGCAAGCACCATAAAATCCTATACTAAACATACAAACTAGCTGAGGATCTCTCCCCCCCCCCCCCCCATCTCTGTTCCCTATTTTGCTTTTTGGCTAGCTAATTTTTTGTTGCTGCCAATTTTGTATTTTGTGCAAGGGTAAAATGAACAAAATATTATGTAAGACTATGATGACCAAGTGCCCTGGTAAAACAAACACACAGGTCGCCACCATTCGCAGAACCAGCGATGTTTCTGTCGCAAGTTCACGTCAACGTCCATTGTCACTTTGTTAATGATAAAAAGTAAACAAATCAGTGACCAGTCACCTCACATGACGATTTGTGCATGAGTTGTAGGCGGGGCTTAAATAGGTTATGACGGATCACACGCTTCCCTCACCAACAGTTGAAAATTTATTGTTACCAAATGGTCAACTTGGGTAAACATTCATTGGAGGGACTAACAATAACGACATGTGAATGGATTATGAAGGCTCGTCCACAGCTCTAGGGGCAGATCCAAAATTTATGACAAAGCGTCGGGCGATGAGTGACCATGCCTGGCCGCCTGAGGCAGGTAAATTTGACAGTGGATTTATAAAATAAGGTGGTCGCAGCCGCGTTGGACATGTGACCGTTTTGCAGTTAAATTATATAATATATTTAATACGCAAGGGGGGAATAGAAAGTAGCCGTTTGTACAAGTGGCCGTCATTGCAGGTTTGACTGTATTTGATGGTTTTTTATCGAACTAGGCCACATTAAGCCTAATTGCATAATTATTTCCACGCTTTGAACCAATAAAGGGGGGGGGGGGAATTCAGGGGGGCATGTAAAAAAATCTGGGGGGTTTCAGTTGGGCATGCCCCCGTACTTTCACCTATAATTTGATGTTTTGCAGTTAGGTTTTGCATTTTCTTGAAAATAATTGATTCGTGACAGTGTTAGTGACTGCATGTGTGATCTGCAGCAAAAACTACTGCAGTTTGACTCCCCAGAGCAGTGCATCTGTGTGGGGGAGTGAAAGTAAAAATTTACCAAAGGCTTACAATGGGGTCAGTCAAATGTAATTTTGGGATACCTCCCTGATTGCTCCAAAGCGTGAAGAATTACTTTGCAATTAGGCTTAGCAGTATTATAGTTTGTGTACAAAAACCAAAAAGAGTTGTAACAGTGACCCAAGCCCAAAAGATCGCAAACAGAGAATGGTGGCCCCTATGTATTGGGTCACATGGGGGACATTCTTTTCACTACTTTTGCCAATCGGTTTAGGATAATACAAATCTATGGCTGACAATGGCTTCTGGATTGAACTATGCTCCATTTTTATTAATTAGTGACAGATAATTTTAATTGTTATCGCCTAGTGATAAAAATATTTTTTCAGCAGGCTAACAAAATGATTTTCTTTTATCTACAGGACACTTCACGTCTCCAAGTGACTTGAATCTGATCATAGCAAAGAATACCAGAATTGAAATATATGTTGTCACACCTGAAGGGCTCAGGCCCATAAAAGAGATTATGATCTATGGAAAGATCGCCGTAATAGAGCTGTTTCGACCTCCGGTAAGTGCTAAACTTGGATCGGGCAGGAAAACTGTTGGCAGCTGTGTTTGCAGAGCAGCGTGTAGTGTAGTGTTGTTAAATTGTAGTTAGCACAATAATGTTTTTTTGTTGTCGTTAATGTTGAATAGGCAACTTGTTAAATATTGAGATTCTTATTTAATTTCATACCATACACTAAGTCTTGGATGTATTTTAACCCCCGGAGCGGCGCTACTGACTGAAGTGTCTTTAAAGGCCATTCCCAAAAGGGGGACGTTAATATGTTCTTATTCTCAGTAGAATTGTAAATTGGCTGATTCATCAATGTCTTGCTCATAACTGTGCCTGAACTGCATCTGGGGAACTGCTGCTTTTTCTTTCCCAATCCTTACTATCATCATTTTCCTCTACTTCTTTTGTCACTTTCTTGTGACTCACTATTTCTGGGATGCCTTGATTATGATAGTCGAAGCAGGCTTTGTGCTGTTGAAGCTAGAGAAGTGTGCAGAGTAAGCCTGATTCCCTGTATGGACCTTGGTGCTCATATGACATTATGCAGTTGCGAGCGCCGTGAAAACTCTACTAAACTAAAAGATGTATTTTTCTGTAATGTTAAAATTACATGCTGTGTGTTGCATGACAATCAATTAATTGGTAGGCTGATTATTAATTATGCCCCTTTATTCACAATGTGTAAATCAGTCGAACAGTTCAGTAGGGCTTTGGGTTGTGGACCCCAGTACGAGAAGCAGAAGAGGCCCTGGAAACGATGCGAAAAAAATTAACTCTTTATTGAGATTTGAACCCAGGTCCTCTACAGATTGGTGAAATCTGCAACAAAAAAATGTTACCATGGCAAGTATTAGAAAAAGGTAGAAATGAAAATGGTATGGATTAAAAGTTGCATAAAAATTAACTTATTAAGAGTACCCAAAGCATTTTCCCCTTTTTTTCTGGGATTTATTTCATAGGGTGAAACCAAGGACTTGCTGTTTCTGCTGACTCATCGCTACAATGCCATGACACTGGAGTGCCAGATGGATGGAGAAAATATTGAAATCATCACTCGGGCTCATGGGAATGTTCAGGCAAGTATTCCTGTGGTCTGTTAACGGTTTAACGTACAGAGATTTTCTTTGTTTGTATTGTCAAGCTGAAAGACTGCTTCACGTAAAGTCCGTTTTGTGGTTTGTGTATGCAAACCATTATTTTGTATGTTGTGCATTGCTTTTTAGGTCTTTTGAGGAACAGGGTTATAACTGCCTGGCGCTGCCAGCGTCCAATAGCGTCCGATGTGTATGGGGTTCAAAGAGTTAACCCTATCCATACGCCGTGTTTTACTATCGTATCCATACGACGTGGGGAACTGTGGGCCACCACTTGCCAAAGAGGAAGGAAATTTACTCGTTAATTCGATCTGTACGCTTTGCATAGCAGTCTGTCAAAATTATTTTTTCAGAAATATTGAAAGTTTCAAAGAGATCATCGTACTAGAAGTATTCTAAAATGTGAAGAATACAACCCTGGGGATACAAAATGACCCCAGGGTGTACGGGTAGGGTTAATGGCAACTGAAGTCCTTGATTTTCTCCTTTACATTACTTCTTGTAAATGAGTATTTGATTCTAGTTTATGCTTGGTGAAAATCGTCCTACATACACGGTTTAACATACACTGATACAGAGATCTTTGCTTGTATTATATGCCAAGCAGAAAGACTGCTTTGTTGAATTGAACCATTCTAAATGGCCACTCTACTTTTTTCTTCCATACTTTACATTGTGGGTGGTTGGTGGGTGCTCTGGTTTGGTTTGCTTCTTCTTTCCTATCAAATGTCTATCGTCGTGATCTCCCCTCCTTCTTTTTTATGTTTGTTACTCTCTTGTAACACCTCAAATCTTCTGGCCCTCATATGACCGTATGCAGTTGCGAGCGCCGTAAAACCTCTACTAACACAAATACTTTACATTAAAAACGCACTTCATGCTTTTTTACTTTTTCTTTTTCAGGATCAGATTGGTCGGCCTTCAGAGACGGGAATTATTGGCATCATTGATCCAGAGTGTAGAGTGATTGGCCTGCGCCTATATGATGGCCTGTTCAAAGTGTTTCAGCTGGAGAAAGAAAACAGAGAACTAAAAGCGTTCAGCATAAGGTTTGTTACATGGACGTAATCAAGATCCATCTCAATACGAGTTACCAGTAATTTTATCAGTATCTTCCCTCTCCATCGAATCTTCTTGTCTTTCTTGCTTTTTTTCCCCTTCTTGTGAATGTTGCTATTTAAATTGTGATTGTCTCAGTCGGTTGTGTATGTTTGTTCAGGAACGATCTGGGAAGTTGAAATGTTTAAGTCTCTTTTGCTTGTAAGTTAATACTTACTTTTCGATTCAGTTCTTTCACATTGTTTAAAGTTAAAAGTGTGAAGCTTGCAACACCAACACAGACAAAGTGGAATCTGTGGTGTAGTGGTTATGTGTTTTACTGTTCCACTCTGGAATCTCAAGTTCAGTTCTCGTGTAGAGAAGTCTTTTTCATCTTTCTATTGGGATGCTGTTTCCCTCTCAGCTTTTAAGTAACAGTTGTGGTAAATGCAGCCTTTCTCCTAAATGGGGGGTATGATAACTCAACATTTATAATGGTTAATAAGGCAGTGTACAACATATGCTGCATTGTTTTTTCCGTAAGTAGCGAGCATCAGCACCAGCAAAAACAGATTGCTGACAAAGTTGTCATGTTTGTTTCACAGGATGGAGGAACTGATTGTCATTGACATGGCTTTCCTCTACGGCTGCCAGACACCGACAGTGGCCTTCATCCACCAGGTAAACCCATGAGAAAGAATTCGTTTCCCTTTCTTTGTTATATTAGCCTTTGTCTGTGGGTGGGTAGAAGGTGCCACAGGCAGGTCACACTTTTGTTTCTTTCCTTCTGTTGTGTTTCCCTGTCTGACATGCGTATTCCTTCCACTAACTGGCCGTTATCTTGTCAATGTGCTTCTCTTTAATTCAAACAAACAAATTACATAGTCTTTGACTTTTCTAATGCATGTCAGATCAGTTGCCATTCTCCCCCCCACCGAGGCAGTGCTACTGACTGAAGTTAGTGGGTGGTTGGCGGGTGCTCTGGTGTGGTTTGCTTCTTCTTTCCTGTCAAACATCTATCGTCCTTATCTCCCATTCTTCTTTTTTATGTTTTGTTACTCTCTTGTAACAGCTCTAATCTTCTGGCGCTCATGTGACCTTATGCAGTTGCGAGTGCCGTGAAACTTCTACTAAAACTGAAACTAGACTGAAATTGTCTTTAGGCCATTCCCATAGGGGGGATTAACATGTTCTTATGCGCAGTAGAATTGTGCATGGGCTGATTTATCAACGTCGTGCTCATACTGTGCGAGAACAACATAGGGGGAACTTCCGCTTTTTCTTTCCTCATCCTTACTATCGTCATCTTTCCTCTACTTCTTTTGTATGTTTGTCACTCTCTTGTGAACTGCTATTTCCGCGGTTCCTTGATAGTCGAAGCAGACTTTGTGCTGTTGAGACTAGAGAGGTGAGCAGAGTAAGCTTGATTCCCTGTTTGGACTTCTCTGTTGACATCCACCCCTTGGCGCTCATTTGATCGTATGCAGTTGCAAGCGCCTTAAAACCTTACTAAAACAAGCATTGCCATTTTCTCTCCACCTGTCCTTGGTTGCCCTTGCTGACAGTTCCTCTGTGGTGACCAAATCTATCTCAGGCCAAAGTCTGTTTCAAGCTCCGTTGCTACAAGTGTAGAGGATATGATATTACATACCTTGGAAATAATAAGAAACTGAGATTTTATCTTGTTTGATATTTTAATATTTAAAACCTGATCATGTATGTGTTGACAAAAAATGCATATTTATGCACACAATACATTACTATACACAAAAAAGAAAGTTTCTTTGTGCTGTTTAGAATCTGATTTTAAAAAAAGTACAGCGGCATGTTACTCTAGCGTTTCAAAGAGGAGTTGAATTATATATTTTCTCCTTGAAAAATTAGGCTCTTGTCATGCTGTGAGTTTGTAAGATTATGTACTGTATATTTGAAAACAGTGTCTTTGCCAAGCACTTATTCAGGTATGATTTTTCAAGCGTGACGATTGTCAGTTTGCCTGTTGCATTTTTAATGACTTTTTGGTAGAAAAATAACAAAGGTGATTTTTGAAAATAACTTATGAGCGAGGCAAAAGGGGTAACGGCTTTCTTTGATAATATTTTCACAATTGTTTTGTCTTAAGGTTTGTGCTTCGGAAGGTCAAAATGAGCCTGACAATACGTCAGTCAGCCTACTCCTTATCTTGAGATGGCCTGTCTGTTCTGACGTAGAAATCCCCCCCCCCCCCCCCCCCCCCCGGGCGCTCTATTTGAATTTGAGATAACGACCTGTTTGTCAGTATCGGAGAAATGTGTTGGAGGATGTGCACAAGTTAAGGATGTGTTTGAAGGTGGTTGAGTGGAAACTGAGGTTTTGTCCTTTACTCTCCGGACAGGATCAAAGTGGAAGGCATGTGAAGACGTACGAGATATCTCTCAGGGATAAAGACTTTCAGAAAGGACCCTGGAAGCAAGATAATGTGGAAACAATGGCCTCTATGCTTATTCCCAGTAAGTTACTTTTTAATTTGATTTGGGGGGGGGGTTGAGTTAGTTTAAAAGATATATTTTAGTTACTTTCCTTCTCCATATTTGCTTTAGTTAATCTTTGCATTTTTCCCTTATTTGTTGAAATAATGTGCAAACTTATTTGGCCACAATTTATCTGTTGAAGAAGCAAAGGAAATGAGTGTAGGTTTTATTGTTTCTTTCTTTTCTGAAATTTTCTTACAATATCATGTGTATTTATGTCCTGAAAACATTACCTTTCACTGGCTGTTTGGACAGTGATGATCATTTCTCTATTGTCATAATTTATTTAGTAGATTAAAAACGTATGCACACCTGTAAAGAAATCAACAAACACATCATCTCTTGATTTGTATTTCAGTCCCTGAACCTTTTGGAGGCACTGTCATCATTGGAGAGGAATCTATCACGTATCACAACGGGTTTAACTACATTGCAATTGCTCCACCACAGATCAAGGTAATTACGTTCTTTTTGAAAATTCTCAGCAGTTTTGAGATAAAGGGGATTCTTGTCAGCGTAACCATTTAAAAAAGGCGGTCTTCCGAAATTTGAATTCCAATTCTTTCTAAAACTAGATACATGTTTCACTTTGATTTTTTCCCACACAAGTAGGGTAACTGATCAGGCTGTCGATTTAGCAAATAAAATTTTGGACCAATATGAAAAAAAGCGTTTTGTCAGCTTACTGCGGTGTTGTTCAGCCGCTACAGTAGTATACAGTGCTGTTGGAAATTTTGTGTGCAGTGCCATTAGACCCGCAGGAACGTCACAGAATCCATGTGAAGCCTTCTCTAGTGAGCGCTTTGAAAGATTGTTTTAGCATATTTATGTCTTAGAACTGGAACAACGAATACAACTATGTCTTGTAAAGCATATAGAGCTTTCTGTCAAGTGGGGATATGCGCTATACAAATGCTGTTTATTATTCATTATTATTATTATAGTTTTTATATTTTGTGATATTCATTTGTCAGCATCTTGCCCTTAAGTCCTTTAATAACACCTAAGACCAAGGAATGATCCCATAAATTTAAAATATTTTGAATGAGTGAGTTTTAAGTAAAAAATGAAAGTTGTTCAAGCAAACCTCAGTAAAATAATGTTCAATTAATAGATGCCTTGTTTGATTTCATACTGGTTGCATAGTTTGTGTGAAATGCTAGGGTTTTTTGTTGTTGTGACTAAGCAAAATGAAATGTATACCCATTAAGCTTCGTCATCAGGAAAATAAAAACAAATTTCAATTGGTTAATGACCTGTTTGATTTCATTAAATTGATTACAAAGTTTCTGTGAAATGCTATGTAACTGTCATTAAGCAGAATGAAATGTTTTCATAAAATGCGTCTTATATGTTCAGATTATTTTAAAAAACCCATTTTTGTTTTGTCCTCATCAGCTGAGCCCTATAAATTGCTACGGCAAAGTGGATGCCAACGGATCTCGATATCTCCTGGGGAACTTCTCTGGAGATCTCTTCATGCTTATCTTGGAGAAGGAGGAGAGAATGGACGGCACAGTTACTGTAAAGGATCTGAAAGTCGAGACTTTAGGAGTGGTAAGAGAAAAATGCTTATGTACACTTTCAGAATGTGTGGGTTAAATGTCTGTTAAAAAAATCACAGATAGGGACTCTGATTTTACGTTCTGCTCCAAAGGGAAAGAGTTTAAGAGGCTTTGCTCGGAAACTCTTCATCACATGTTTATGAATGCCTTATCGTGGATAGGAACCCAGGTTTCTGTCATTTGTGTCCAGCAAGAATACAAAGTGAGCAAACATTTGTGCTACTGATTTTAATCAAAGATTATTTATCTTTAAAAAAAAATAAAAAAATTTAATTGTTGAGCGGGTAGACGTGTTCAGTTGAAAGGGTGGGTGGTTGGAGTGCGCTGTCTGTCTTTGTACCTGCACTAAATGACCCTTTTTGTATCAATGTGCTACTCTTAATTCAAGCAAACATCAGTTTATAGGTTTATTAAAGTATTTGAATTTACTTATAACATGGCTCCGCAAAATTTCATTTTCAGCTCTTATAACGTGTTATCATCCCTGAGCTTTATAATGAAATAAAACTTGCTGTCCACATTTTACTTTTCGGTTAGTTTATATTTGCGCATATTGTTGCATGCCATTTATGATGGATTAATTTACTTTTTCAGACGACCATACCGGAGAAAATTCTGTATCTGGACAACGGGGTTGTGTTCCTTGGCTCTCATGTCGGAGATTCGCAGCTTGTTAAGGTAGGGGCCTTGTCCAACGGCTAAATATTAAATCTTGCTTTTTATTTTGTATCTTGTTTCTTTGTCTCTCCTTCCGTCTATCTTGATAGCTGCCAGAATAGAGTGGAGGGTTGTGACCCGTGCATTTTGAGGGCTTTTCTTCTGAACCTAAAGACTGCTTTTTTCTGTCTTATGAATTTCTGTTGTTCATACAAGTTCCCCGATCTTTATTGCTTAGAATAAGTCAACGTCTTCTTCATTTTAAAAAAATAATAATTTGAGTGTAAGATTTTTTGCTTCTTTTTCAAAAAGAGTACATTTTCTTTTCAAAATAAACTTAAACTTATATGTAACTTATACAAAATAAACTTATAAGATAATTTTTTTCCCAGTTGAATTCAAAGAGAGACAGCAGTGGTTCGTACGTCCAGGTTATGGAGACCTTCACCAATCTTGGTCCTATTCTGGACATGGTGGTTGTGGACCTGGAGAGGCAAGGTCAAGGACAGGTAAGCAGTTGAATGGATGCTTTATGAAACTTAAGTTGATGCTAAACAACATGTCTGTTAATTTTCTTTTTAAAACAAACTTGTCCTGACATGAAGTTTTTGTGCAAAATAATACGATTTGAACTATTAAGTCAGACAAATGTCATTTGTCTTGTCTGTCTTACTTCTCTCCCCCCCCCCTAAAATGACCATCATTGTATCAAGGTGCTTCTCTTCAACTCAAGCAAGCAAAATGTAGAAACTATCATGCTATCTCATTGCGATAAAAAAACAAAACAAATCAAAATATTTGTGTACCAAGTCTGAAATAGACATTATCAACAATCATGGTACACCACTTATTAAGTTATTTCTCTGCTTGGACTCTAAAAAAACCCAAACCCAACACTATATTATCCTGGTCTTTTATTGTTAGCTGGTTTACTTTTCATTACTCAGCTCGAATGCCCTAAAAAAAACACCTTATGTTCCTGGTCTTTTCCCATCACTCAGCTGTTCAAGTTCTCTTAGTAAGTTATTCTGGGTCTTGGACGCCTATGTTGTCTTTAACCTCCCGCGGCGGTGCAACTGACTGAAGTGTCTTTAGGCCATTCCCAAAGGGGTGGACATTAACTTGTTCTTATGCACTGTAGAATTGTAAATGGGCTGATTCATCAATATCATGCTCGTATTTATGCCTGAACTGCAACAGGGAACTGCTGCTTTTTCTTTCCTTATCCTTACTATCGTCATTTTACTCTACCTCTTTTGTATGTTTGTCACACTCTCGTGACCCGCTATTTCCGGGGTACCTTCATAGTCGAAGCAGACTTTGTGCTGTTGGAGCTAGAGAGGTGAGCAGAGTAAGCCTGATTCCCTGTAAGGACTTCTCTGTTGACATTCACCCCTTGGCGCTCATGTGACCTTATGCAGTTGCGAGCGCCGTAAAACATCTTGTATATAAAAAACAAAAAACTATGTTGTCTTTTCCAGCTTGTGACCTGTTCGGGTGCTGTCAAAGAAGGATCTCTCCGGATCATCAGGAATGGAATCGGCATCAACGAACATGCCAGCATAGATCTGCCAGGAATAAAGGGTGCGTGCGTGCGTGTGTGTAACTGAGACATGTGTTGGACAGATTCTGTGTGACTTTGTGAAAGAATAGTGTCTTGGTTGTACACTGATCTTCTAGTCAGCTCTTGTCCTTAACTTACCCTTTCTGTGGGTAGTTTGGGTAGATGATTTAGGTTGGACGTCTTCAGAGATGTTAGTGTTGGTGGTTGGCGGGTGCTCTAGTGGGGTTTGCTTCTTCTTTCCTATGAAACATCTATCGTCCTTTCTCCCCTTTTTCTTTTTTGTGTTTGTTACTCTCTTGTAACACCTCTAATCTTCTGGCGCTCATATGACCTTATGCAGTTGCGAGGGCCATAAAACCTCTACTAAAACTAAACTGGAGATGTTAGTCAGCCAATCACAGTTTCCTCCTCGAAAGACATTTGTTTGTTGATTGTTCAGGATGGGAGACTTTATTTGTCACCTGGTGCTGTTTGCTTCTTCTACTTCTTTTCAGTGTTATTTATGGCTTTATCTGTTTCTGGCAAGCAAAGGCTCATCATTTTGTTTTTTAATTTGTGGTATTGGTTGCATGTACTCCAAAAATATTTTGTTGAAATTCAAATTCTAAATTGTTATCTGAACAAGAAAGAATACATAAGAATTCAACTGTTTTTTTTAAATGTGTATCTAAATTATAATTGTATGTCTGACAGAGTGACTAAAATTGTTATCTTGGGGTTTCATTTCTTTTTTGTTACATTCTTCCTAACCAAGTTCAGATTCAGCGTAGATTTAAACATGCTATTGTGAAAACGTTAGCGCTCACCATGGTTCTTTATTCCACCCACAGGAATCTGGCCTCTGAGAGTGAACTCTGAGAAGTACGACAACATGATGGTCATGTCTTTTGTGGGACAGTCCAGGTAAGAGAAAACTTCAAGGGGGGTAACAGTGCTCTGGTTATTTTCTTGGTATATCAGTGCTCCGGTATTCTTACACTGGTATTCTAATGCTCCAGTTATCTTACGCTGATGTTCTAATGCACTGGTTGTCTTAGACTTGTTTACCAATGGTCTGGTATCTTAGACTGGTATGTCCATGCATGCGGCACAAAAATTAGCAACTCTATACTCACTAGGCATACTGCTCTCATAAATGTGGCAAGGGGTCTTCTCAGCATTTCTCTCAGCAAGACCTTTGTCATATTGGTAGTTAAACGTTTACCTACTCACTTATCCCTCAGTCTAGATGACCATTGGGCACCAGGGATGATCGGGCCACCACTTTTCTCCATCCTTCTCTATTTTCAGCTTTTTGAAGGGCTTCACTCTACTTTAGTTTCATGTCTATGTCGATCTAAATGGTTTTTGAATTTTCGAAAATATCACAGTCCTGATCCTTCCCTCCCTTTGCCATTTGTTTCAGAGTGTTGCAGCTGTCTGGTGAAGAGGTGGAGGAGACAGAGCTGCCAGGTTTTGATGGCGATAACCAGACATTTGTCTGCAACAATGTGTCCTTCAATCAGATTTTACAGGTACTGTGCTTGTTTTATTTTTTTTCTTCTTTCTAATTCTGACAAACAGAAGGTGGATGTGTGCCTTGGTGCAGTGTGTCCCTTTCATAATTAAAATAATAATTAAAAAAATAATAATTGACGTAAAGACCCAAGAACGTTCCTTCCTTTCCCATAGATCTCGTCCTTATTACTTTTTCAATTTTTTTTGTTTTTTTGAATGTCAACCCAAAGATCTCAGAACATTCCCTCCTTTTGCATAGATCAAGTCCCTTTTACCTCAACAAAAATGATGTTTTTCCATTATTTCTGTTATTTTCACCGAATTCCTGTAAGAAGAAGAGAGTGCCGTAATAAACAACAAAAATAAACAGCACCAATATAATATTTATGTTTTGCAAGTGACGTAAAACTCCTACTAAAACTAAAACGAAACATTCCCTCCCCTTCCCTACAGATCACTCAGGTATCCATCTTTTGCTCTTGTTTGCCCTATTTGTGTTGCAAGTGCTGTAAAACTCCCACAAAAACCAAAATTAAAACTGAACATTCCCTCCCCCTTCCCCATAGATCACCTAGGCGTCCATCTGTGGCACTTGTTTGACCTATTTGAATTGCAAATGCCATAAAACCCTGACAAAAACTAAAAGGAAACATCCCCCCCACCCTTCCCTTTCCCCCACTGATCACCCAGGCGTCCATCTTTGACACTTGTTTGATCTATTTGTGCTGCAAGTGCCGTAAAACTCTCACTAAAATGTAACGTTCCTTCCCCCTTCCCCTCACAGATCACCCAGGCGTCCATGAGGCTGATCCAGTGCTCCCCGCCCAGCTTGGCGGCCGAGTGGAAGCACCCCAAGGGGAAGAACATCAGCCTGGCCTGCTGCAACAACACGCAGGTGGTCATCGCCGCCGGAAGCGAGCTCTTCTACTTCAAGATCGAGGACGGGAAAGTCTCACTGAAAAGGTGCGTAGATGGCTTCGCTGTGTTTTATATCATCTCTGTAAATTTGCCAAATCGATGTACAGAAAAGTGGGAAGACATGGAATAACATGAAGAGGCTAGCCCAGGATAGAGAAAGGAGGAAGGTGTTTGCCCGTGGTCTATACCCTGGTGCAGGGTGAGAAAGGCAATGATGATGATGAAATTTGCCAAAAGTTTTGGATTTCACTTTGAAGTTTAATGGGTGCTCCATTGGTTTTGTTAACTCGCTGACTACCATCATCTCAATTTTTTTTTTCGGCTTTACAAATTGTTTTGGTTTTTTAATTTTTAATTAATTTATTTATTTTAAAAAAATAATTTTGTGGCTGTCTTACTTTTCTCATTACCTCGATTTTAAACACTACCGTTAAAGTTTTTGTGAGCCAGAAGTGATTTTCCTATCCTGTTACGGATTTAAGAATATATTAAAATGTTATAGTTTTTTTTTGGTCTTGTCTGTTTGGTGTTTTTTCTTTGCTAGCAATGCAACAATCACATCCGTTTCTTTGCATTCAACATAACCATAACGTAACATACAATTTTCTTTGCAAGCAGCAAGACTGTGACATTCTTTGCCTTGAACGAAACTGTCAAACAAGTTTTTTTTTCTTTCAATACGATTGTGATATTCAATAATTTTTTTTCATGTGACCCTGACTGACATACAATTTTCTTTGCATTCAATGCGACTGACGATCTATTTTCTTTTCAACCAACCTGACTGTGACATACAATTTTTGTGGGTTGTTGACGGGTGCTCTTGTGTGGTTTGCTCCTTCTTTCGTATCAAATATCTATCCTTCTTATCTCCCCTTTTAAAAAAAATATTTGTTACTCTCTTGTAACACCTCTAATCTTCTGGCACTCTTATGACCTTATGCATTTGCGAGCACCGTAAAAACCTCTACTAAAACTAAACTAAACTAAAAATACATTTGTCTTTCCCTCCAACCTGACTGTGACATGCAATTTTCTTTTCGTTTAAACTGTACCGAATTGGAGTAAAACAGTCTGCTCCCTACCCACTATGTGACTACCCCTCAGAGACAGTGGAACATCATCCGTTCTTCTGTAGAGAAAACTAACTGATTCGAGGGAATGTTTGCTTCCCAAGCTACCCCACACATCTAACTTCCTCGACTCCTCAATACAACAATTAGAACAGACTTGCAGCTGCTGCTATTACAGAATGGCATCATGCAGTAGAGTTAAAGCTCAGATGCTACTGGATCACTCACAACAACAACTACAACCCGCCTGTGACATACAATTTTCTTTTCCTCCCATCTGACTGTGACATACATTTTTCTTTTTCCAGCAACACGACCGTGGAGCACGAGGTGGCCTGTCTGGACATTGGTCCCGTGGAGGGCGGCTCCGAGTCGTCTAGTCTCTTGGCCGTGGGCTTGTGGACAGATATCTCGGCCAGACTCTTCCGACTGCCGGACTTTGAGAGCCTGCATGTGGAGATGTTGGGAGGAGGTGGGTACACCCTGCTGGCAGGGTTTTGTCTACTTGAGTGTGGGTTTTGTTGTCCTTCTGTCTGCACGTGAGAACATCTTTTTTTGTTTTTTTTGTCTTTAGCATATTAAGAACATGGGTTTGTCATTTGTCCTTTTGTGAGAACATGGGTTTTGTCTGTCTGTTTGATAGACAGGGATGCCACTTTTCCGCTTTTCTCCAGTATTTCCGGCATTTTGATCCTGATCCGCTATTCCCTTATTGAGATTGAGATAGAATCTATAGTTGGGGGGGGGGGGGGAAACAACCCCACACACGTTAAGTACATCTAATCTGTTTTTCTTTAAATGTTGTCTTTTCTTTCTATGTACACCCATTGCTTATGTTTGTTTGTCATTTCTTTCTATGTACAGCCTTTCTATTTCAAATTGATATTCATATGTTAGCGAGACCATGGCGCGTGGATTTTCAGCTATTTAAAGAAAAGTTGAGTGGCATCCCTGTGATAGAGCATGGGTCTTGTCGTTTGTTTTCATTTGGTAGAGCATGGGTTTTGTCGTCGTTTGTTTGTTAGAGCATGGGTTTTGTCATCTGTTTGTTTATGAGAATATGGGTTTTGTCATCTGTTTGTTTATCAGAACATGGGTTTTGTCGTCTGTTTGTTTATCAGAACATGGGTTTTGTCGTCAGTTTGTTTATCAGAACATGGGTTTTGTCGTCTGTCTGTTTGTGAGAACATAGGTTTTGCTGTCTGTATGTTACAGTCTAGTAGTAACACCTCTGTGCATTGCAAGTGCCATAAAAATCTTTACTGTAACTTCTTTGTCTCTTTTCCAGAGATAATTCCCAGATCCATTCTCATGGCGACATTTGAAGGCGTGCAGTACCTGCTGTGTGCTCTGGGAGACGGCTCCTTGTTCTACTTCATTCTGGATGTGAAGACAGGTACCGTATTATATGTGTGTGTTTCTTCTTTTGGGGGAAAACTGTAGGATGCAATTTCAAATTTTTGTTGTTGCTTTTGTGTGAGTCATATCTCAAGATGGGTTTGGGAGTTTCCCCCTTACAGATGGTGACTTGATGAATTTTTGAATGATAGGTGCAAAACTGTACACATTGACGACAGTGATGTTTGAGGCCACAGAAAGTTTGAATTAAGTTCAGAGATGTTCAAGATTGTTTTCACTACTGAGGGCCTTGAACGTCTAGCTTCCACAGGTAAAATTGAAGGCAAATGAGGCAGCTTACCTGGAAAGCCTAGACAGATCAGGAGAAAGATCAGGATTAATTAATTTTTTTTAAAGAGCATCTGAGCAAAGGAATGAATGGCAAAACATGATTGCTGATGTCTGCAGCAGATCTTGCACTTGATGACGATGATGATAATGATTTTTTTGTATCGTGTTCCTGACATAGCCCTTTACCGGACGAAACGTTGAACCTGTATTAAATTTGAAAAATCTACTAAGTCTCAACCCCTTTTTTTGTTCCCTGCTACTTACAATGATGATGATAATGATGATGATTTACTACTCATGACTGAAAACCCTTTTGCTCCTCTCAGGGTACTTGTCGGAGAAGAAGAAAGTGACCTTAGGCACCCAGCCCACGATGCTGAGGACGTTCCGGTCTCTGTCCACCACCAACGTGTTTGCCTGCTCGGACCGGCCCACCGTCATCTACAGCAGCAACCACAAGCTGGTCTTCTCCAACGTCAACCTGAAGGAGGTCAATCACATGTGCCCGCTCAACTCAGACGGATACCCTGACAGGTCAGATGCTCTCGGTTAGCTTATAATATGGTTTAGGTGATAGGTTGGTGGAAGGGTAGAAAACAATATCTAGGACTGGTCTTGGTTAGCTTATAGGGGTTAGGTGATTGGTGGGTGAAGAGGTAGAAAAAATGATGTCAGGGATTGGTCTTGGTAAGGTGATGGGTGGCTGGGGAAGGATTGAATACATAAAGGACAGGTCTTGGTTAGATGATGGGTGGGTGATGAGGTAGAAAAAATTATGTCAAGGATTGGCATTGGTTAGGTAGATAGGTGGATGGAGAGGTATAAAAAATTTATGTCAAGGATTGGTCTTGGTTAGGTAGATAGGTGGATGGAGAGGTATAAAAAATTTATGTCAAGGATTGGTCTTGGTTAGGTAGATGGAGAGGTAGAAAAAATGATGTCAAGGACTGGTCTTGGTTAGGTGATGGGTGGGTGGAGGGGTAGAAAAATGATGTCATGAACTGCAGTTGTAAAGGTAACCCTTTTATTGCTGAGACATTTCCATGTTTTGTGGGTGGTTGGTGGGTGCTGTGGTGTGGTTTGCTCCTTCTCTCCTATCAAACATCTATTGTCATGATCTCTCCTCCTTTTTTGTGTTTGTTACTCTCTTGTAACACCTCTAATCTTCGGCACTTATATGACTTTATTGTGTTGCAAGTGCTGTAAAGCTCTTACTAAAACTAAACATCTACGTTTGAACAGGCAAAATAAAAAATAAAATGTTCATTCAAGAGAGAGTTAACCTCAAAAACCATATCCTCTTTTTCAAGAATAAACAAATGCAAAAGCTTTAACCGTGTCTACTGAAACTTCCTCTGTAAATCAAGAAATGAAATGTGTCAAGACGCGGTGGAATCAGGCGCTTGTCAATTTTTGGGCATATGGAGTTATTGGTATTATCTTAAAGCTTATAATTCATTTTGATTGCTTTTGATGAAAAAATTATTGATTTTCCTACTATAGAATTCCAACCATTTGCAATTGAAGGAGGTGGGGGTTGCCTGGTTTCAGAGGTCAAATTAGCGAGAAAATGGCCGCCAAAGTTTGGTGATTTCCTTATTTGGATGTAGCCGAGGGTTGTTCACGCCCTAATTTTTTTCCACAGCTTGGCCCTGTCTAACGACACCACTCTGATGATCGGCACCATCGATGAGATCCAAAAACTGCACATCCGCACCATTCCCCTGAGAGAGTCCCCCAGGTCAGTTGGTGTTTATGGTTTCGTTGTTGAGGCGTTTTAATTCACATCGGTGTACGGACGAGATGAAATGTTCCTTCAAAATATACTTAAACAAAGCCATAGTATCCCCCCCCCCCCCCCCGTCCAATTTTTAAAAAAGTAATACTGTAAAATTGTTGCCGTAAGGTCTCTTTTTGCCGTAATCAGAAAGTAACTTCACCTTTTCAAACTTTTGAAAGGTTAAGCCATTTTGCAGGAACACTTTTTATTTTGGTGGTGTGAGAAGGTATATATTGTTAACGGCACCTTTTCAGGGTAACAATGTTGTGTTGTAGGTGAGAATTGGCTCCAGAATACTTTGATCATCCATGGATGGAGAAGATGCGCGGAATCCTGTGTATAACGTAACAAAAACAGCCGAACGTACTCCAATGACCACCTGTACAAGACAGTCACCTGTACGAACGGCCACTTTCCTTTCATTAAAAAAACAAACCCATTATAATTATTTTGTAAGATAACAAAAACTGTCAAACATACTCTAAATGGTCGCTTTTAAGTGGGCTATATCGAAAAATGCTGTTTTGAGAAGATCGAAGATAAAGTTTTTGCCCCTTGTTCATTTTCATTATAAAACAAGGAGAGTTTTCTCTATAACTAAGCAAATGCTCTCACCAATGAAACCGAACTTCTCCTATAGGTAGGGTAATGCCCACTTTTGGTGTACGTCAAGACTTCTGGAAACTCCCGAAATCTGGGTTAGCCCGCTTGTCCTTAAAAGCGACCAAATATACTCTGTCTAAGACGATCGCATGTACAAATGGCCCCTTCCCATTTCTCTCCTTGCATTAAAAAAACCAAAATCCGACTACATTATAATGACTTTGTAAGATGTCCACCTGTTTAAGACAACCACATTTCTTCTTGACAGTGGGTAGTTGTCTGAGACAATTTTGACTATATGTACCCTCACTCTGAACATCAATCCGTAGGTGGTTGGCCGGTGCTCAGTGTGGTTTGCTCCTTCTTTCCTATCAAATATCTATCGTCCTTACCTCTCCTGCTTTTTTGTGTTTGTGACACATCTATTCTTCGGTTCATCTATGACCATTTTGGGTTGCAAGTGCCATAAAACTTTTATTTAAACTAAACTAAACTCTCTTGTAACAATTCTAATCTTCTACACTTATATGACCATATTGTATTGCAAGTGCCGTAAAACTCTTTCTAAAACAAAGGCATCAATCCCTCCCTGTCTGTTCTCAGGCGGATCGCCTACCAGGAACCGACGCAGACATTTGGCGTCATCAGCTGCCGCGTTGACAGCGGCGAGCGCAACCTGCCAGGGTTTGAACCTCTGCCTCCGCCTGCCAGTCTGACGGCCTTGAACACGTCGACGGCCACCTCCAAACTGTTGCCCAGTGGGGGCGGGGGCTCGGCGGGTGGGGAGCAGGCTGTCAGCGAGGAGCAAGAGATCTACTCGCTTCTCATTCTCAGACAGAGCACATTTGAGGGTGAGTTGTGCCTGTAGAGCTGAGAGAGAGAGAGAGAGAGAGG